CATTATTTATGCATCACCACTCATAAAAGAAGCAACGGAAAATGCATGTATGACGAAAGTAACAATAATTTTCCAGACAACCAACCCAAGTGCAACGCCCTTTTTCAGCAACTTATTATTTTTTTCATAACGCGTGCTGATTTATAACTAGTTACAGACAGAAACTGTAATTTTATTTGACATCAGCTCGGTGACAGTTCCAAAATTTGAAATTCAATCCGGTGTTTCAGGATGGAACAGTAATTGAGACTACATATCCATATCAAGACAATTTCATTTGCATCAAAGTATTACAATGTTTTCTTTTTTTTAATTTCATTTTTTTTTAACTAACATCTACATACATTTATTTAGACTAATCGTCAAATGAGATATGGCGGGTTGCTATGCCTATTTCCCCAAAGCTATGTTACGCTAGTGCGCTCATCCAACCGTGCACTGTTATGACGCGTCCCCATGTATTTTTATACAGGTAGCAATATCGGAATCCCGTGTCTAAGAATAGATTATTGTAAACAGACCACATATTTGGTACTTCGGCATTACTTGTTGGTGTTTAAGCACTTGATATAATTACTATTGCCAGTTGGAGGGTAAACAATTCATAAATTTCATCAAAAATAGTGTCTTACCTACAAAGCGTAGCTGTATTGTACACGTGTACAGGGATTTGTTGACATGCTTCGATAGAAGTATGTCGCACTAAATAGTAAAGAAATTATTACTAACAAAACTGATAAATCAATATGTATGTTATTAAAATGTTAACAAAATCTTCCATCGATTTAAAAAAAAAAAACATTGCCTTATTAAGGAAAATGATCACATGCCTAAATATTTAAAAAAAAAAAACTGAAGGAGGATTCGAACCTGCACCGTTTATTTTCTAGTCGCAAGTAAACTGCGTTACACATTCGGCTACATAGAACATATAGATATGGCAATTAAAAACTTATTTAACCCGAGAAACACCGGTCGCAGTTTAGAGAAACTTGATCGCCCCTGTTTTTCATTATTGTGAGCACTTTCCCAAAGGAGAACCACTTTTCCGTAATACGATTTGTTTTTGCATATTACATCACGGTTACAAAAACTTTATTCAAAAGTTGGTCCTCGGATGGGAAAGTGTTGAAAGTATTTTTTTAAGTCCGGGAAACCCCATCACTTTCATAGATATAGTGTATATGGCTATATTTGCAGTATCATATTAGCAATACCTAATTTCTCAGCAGTTTAAAAATTCATATTCAATTGGTTTTGTATCTTTTGTATGCATTGTATAAATTGGTGATGTTTTACTCCTTCATTTTTCCCCCGTTTTCATAAGTGCCGACTTAGGGAAATACGGGCAGTTTTCCGCCATACCTCAAATTTGTAATATGCACTTTTTCTATAGCAATTACCTTTTCGCAAGAGTAATAAATGTACAACTAATAAACCATGGCATACTGAAAAATGTAGAAAACTGAGAAATGAGTTTCACTTGGCCAAGAGTAAGTATAAATTGGTGAAAAATCAAATAAACAAAAAAGCCCTGAGAAATAAGAGTAAACAAAGGTAAGAGAGTAAGAAAGGAAATGAATAGGTGTTTTAAGGAATATCAGCAAATGGAAAGGGATATAAGGGAATCTGCAAATATTAACCCCAAAACACTATGGAACTTATCAAATAGATTATCTGGTGAAGCTAAATCTAATAAAGCTGACATACCAATAAATAAACTTTTTGAGTACTTCAAAAAGCTGAACAATTCAACTGATAACCGGGATGATGAAAACATATATACTCCCGAACAAGAAAATACGACTTTTTCCCAAATACTAGACGAAGATATTTCAGAGGAAGAAATTATACATGCAGTAAATAATTTAAAACATAACAAAGCATGTCGAAATGATGACATTTTAAATGAGCATATCAAGAGTACATTAACTAACTTTATGCCGTTATATACAATGTTATTTAACAGTACACTAAATACTGGATTAGTCCCAGACTCTTGGACAGTTGGAATAATTAAGCCTATTTATATAAATAAAGGAGAAACTTGCGACCCGGACAATTATGGAGCTATAACTCTAGTGTCTTGCTTGGGGAAAGTGTTTAATCATATCATCAATAATAGATTAACTAAAAGACTGAAAATATTTTATGTTACACTCTTTAATAAACACATATTTTGCACAAGGGAAAAAGGCTGTACTGTACATTTGTTGATTTTCGAAGAGCGTTCGACACAGTTTGGCGAGCGGGATTATGGCAAAAGATGTTAAAAAGTAAAAGAAATGGAAAAGTTTTAAGGTTATCCAAAACTTATATTTTAATACCAAGTCATGTGTTAAAAACGGAAATGAAATTTTTCGTTTGCAATGTCGGATTAAAACAGGGGGGAAATTTATCCCCTTTTTTGTTTTCCCATACCTGAATGATCTTGACGATTTTTTAAACCAAAAAGATGTTGCTTAATAATGTAGAAAGACTCTGTTAAATTAACATTGGAATGTATCTTAAACTAATACTGTATGCGGATGATACTGTGCTAATGGCTGAGACACCAGAGGGGTTACAACATGCCCTGAATGCGTTTCAAAACTATTGTAGAAGTTGGAAGTAGATTATTAATGTACAGAAAACGAAAGTCGTCATCTTTGAAAAAAGAAAACGTAGACAACAATATGTATTTAAATTGAATCAAGAAAATATCGAAGTCCAAAATTCTTATTTATATCTGGGCATATTATTTAATAGCAATGGTACATTTAGTAAAGTAAAAACAAAAATAACTGAACAAGCTAAAAAGACACTATGCATTGAACAAGAAAATAAGAAATATTTCATTGTCTGTTGAGTTGCAACTTTAGTTCTTTGATTATCTTGTTTCACCGATCCTATTGTATGCTTGTGAGATATGGGGATTCGAAAACACTATTACCATAGAAAGAATGCATTTGCAATTTTGTAAAAGAATCATGAATGTAAAAAAAAAATCTACTCCCAATTACATGATTTATGGAGAAACCGGGAGATATCCTCTGGAAGTAGAAATCAAGACAAGAATGATCATGTTCCGGTTTAAGTTGTTAACTGGCGGGAGCAAGATACCAAGTCTGATATACAAAATGACATATGTTTTACAATCAAATGACAAATGCATTTTAAATGGAATAATTATATAAAAGATATATTAAACAAGTTAGGTTTTAGCAATTTGTAGATTTTTCAAAATGCATGTACTATGAATAGAAATCATTTCAGAGCGTTAGTTAAACAGCAGTTAAAAGATCAGTTTATACAGAAATGGTTCCAAGAGATAGAAAACTCCTCTCGTGGTAAATTCTACTCCATATTTAAGACAAACTTTTAGTATGAATCATATCTAACAAAACTTAATGAAAAAGATAGGAAAATTATTTGTAAATTCCGAACGTCTAATCTTAATTTCCCAATAGAGACTGGACGCTGGAGTGCAACTCCAAAATCAGATAGGCTATGTATAGATATATCCATAATTATTACACTACAAACCCCAGCAATGTTAAGCTAAAAGGAATGATTTCTATTTGTAATTTAAATGTTTTACCTAAAATAAGTCGTTTTCTAACGAAAACAGTTAAGGCTTTAAGTGACATAAGATAAATGCAGTGCTATTATTCTGTAGTATTATATATTTACATGTTGTAAACACAATCTGTACTCACTTTGCTATGTAATTGAAATGTATTGAAATGTTGACCTCTTGTAACACACCTCGTGTGTCATGAGTGTAAAAATAAAACTTAAACTTAGACAGGATAGCTAAATAATGTTCAAAAACGGACGTGCTGCCATACTTCCTAGAACGGATTTTAATAATAAAAAAGGACCGAACTTTCCCCGGTCTCCCTATTGTTATGTCGGTCTTAATCTCATTAGAGCTTGTGTTTTATTGTTATTGCTCGACTAGCCGACTTTGAATAAATTGATCTTATCCCATTCTGAAAGTTGTATTTTTAATCAGTAAAAATCAGAGATCAACAAAAGCTACGCTCTTTTAAGGCTTTGACTTTTCATATAACTAAAGGAATGTTGAGGACACGAGGAATATCAAATTGCGTTCAACAACGTTATGGCCATCGATGAATTGTTCTTCATTAGTTGACGATAGAAATCATTGAGACAACATTTATGAGATAATAATGAAAAATTATGAATTATTCCAGTAATTATGGTTGAAGCAGTTTTGTAAACAACACATACCCTGTACATTGTCTCTACTTGTGTTTCCGTCCAAAGTGTTTGTTTACTATCTTTGACATGATTTATATATTCAAGTTACATAGGTAACATAATGATTAGGTTATACAAACCAGTAAATGCTGTCCAATAACTTTCAATTTTGTTACCTAAATAAATAGCATTTGAACAAGTTTTTTAACGAGATACATTTTAAAGTAAGACGACTATATATAGAACCTGATTTCTCACGCGTGTTAATAGCACTAATCGTGGTAAAACCTTGATTGTATTAACAACTGGTACAAGTTTATTTGTACACGCGCTCATGTACTGTATGTAGCACGTGCTAATAAATTGCTCAACGAGACATACCTTTTGTTTTAATTATATAGAGTTTAAACTTCTTATTCCTTGACAACAAGGAAACAAGAGACAATGATGGTAGGTATCTGTTTTGAATAAAGCAATGGTATTTTTTCTCTCCTTTCTTTTGTTGTATTTTGCCAAACGTCTATGTAACTGAGCCAGTATTGCGGTATGCTGAACTGCCGAGATGTGTTCCTCTGCAATCTGCTATACATACTATCAGTTTTTGCAACTCAACACTGTGGGGCCTCTGCTGATACGAGGCGGCCGAGAGCCGGCCAAGTGGCTTCAGCGTGGCAGTTCCATTACTATTGATTGCCAGTCTACCAACCAACGGGCGCGCGCTCTACTCGCGCGCAGCCAATCACATGCCAGAGTGTGGTTTGCCGATCCGACTTATTAAAAGGATACATTAGTTGAATTATAGGCGCCGAGATAAGAGCGAATATTTAACTCCCAGGGGAGACACTTTCACATATAAACTGGCAGGGCCGTGTCTAAGGTACAGGATGGGTATCAAGACTATCAGTACTGCCTTGTTACAACATAGCACTCTCACCTGAGCGCCGTGAACATGCAGACGTCACAAAATGGGACTGCCACACCTATCCCGGTGGTACTAACTTTGGGACTTATGTTTAAAAAACATTCCACTATTACTTCTGAATTCCTGTAGTAGTTGTTTTATGAAGTTATAACATGTGTTATCGAAGTTGATGAAGGCGATCACTCGTATTTGTGGATTACATCAGGAGACAGCACGTGCGTGTCATAAGGAGACGTACTTCAAATCCCATAAGGTGAGCTGTGTACTTCAGTAAGAAAAAGACAGGTTAGACGCAGCAAAACTGGTTTTATGTTCCAAGGAAATTGTCTTCAATTAATGTAAAGCTTTACATTTTAGGACCAAAATAAACTTTCAACATTCGACATATACATAGCTATTTATTATTGGAAAATTTCAGAGGATTAAAACTCAACAATGGCGAATATTAATTTCACTTCGAAACCAATGGAAGGGAGTACGAGGTTTTCGAACGATAGTTTTTGTTATTTTAATGTGTCAGGGAACTGTTCTAACGTCACGGAACAGTATGACCTCATACATCCGGTACCACAGATCGTCGTACCCATCCTATTCGCCATTCTCATGTTGACGGGTGTCGTGGGTAACGGGACTCTCATCTATACTGTTCTTCGGAACAAATCCATGCGGAACGTTCCCAATATTCTTATAGTGAATTTATCAGCCGGAGACTTGTTACTGTTGTTAATGTCAGCGCCGTTTTCGGCGACAGTCTTTATTCTGGAGTCGTATCCTTTTGGGGAGTTGATATGTAAGATGAACGAGTACCTGCAGACCTTGTCCGCCGGAGTATCAATTCTTACTCTCACCGCCCTAAGCGGCGACCGCTACGTCGCCATCATGTATCCGATGAGCAAGCACAAGGGAAAGCCCACATTAAAGACATCAATCGCCGTGGCGTTCATTTGGATAATTTCCGCCATTTTTGCTATTCCGGATGCCATCAGTTTTAACATCCAGTATATGGGGGTATATTACTGTCAGGCTTACCCTTACGTTTGGCGCGAGTGGTACGGTAAAACTCACTGTCTGTTCCGCTTCTTCACTCTCTTCTTGATCCCTCTCATTATCATCGGCACGTTCTACTGCCTAATGGCGCGAATCCTCGTCAAGAGCAGTCGTCAGATGCCATGTGAGGCTACAAAGGGACCGGGGCAGAGTCAACAACAGCAACGCCAGATCGAGGCTCGAATGAAGGTGGCTCGCGTGGTACTGTCGTTCGTACTGCTGTTCGTCGTGTGCTGGCTGCCTCGCCACATCTATCTCCTCTGGTTCCACTGGGGCACATCGGATTTCAGCGACTTCTGGGTATGGTTCAAACTTTTCGGATTTTGTCTGACCTATGTTTACTCATGCGTCAACCCGTACGCACTTTACTTCCTGAGCAGTCAATTCCGGAAGTATTATAACCGCTACCTGTTCCGGTGTTGTCCGAAGTCGTATCGACTGCGGGACTCGAACGGTTCCGGACTACAAAGCTACAGTACCGTTCGGAGGGGCAGCACTTCCCTCACCATGGTCAAATCCAACTCGGAAATGTGACTATGTATGTGCTCTTACCGTCGGCGGTAACCTGTCACGTGACACTTGCCCGTTTCAGGACTTTGGTATGTAGACTTTGACTATCAGGTCTAATTATTTCATACCACCGGAGGTACTCTGACACAATCAAAACTTAACTTAAGTTAGAGGTAATAGTGCTTTGTTAACGTCTTAACCGGCAATGTTTGCCTCCTCTGCCACGCCATTGGACTAGGATGTAATGGCGGATTGTACAAACCAAGTGATTTCTTTATTATCAGCGGTCCAAAACAACTGTGTGCTGGCAATGGCTTTACTGCAACCAATTATAGGGCTAATCAAATTTAATACATTTTTGACTATATATTATTCCCGGGGAATATGTTGAATTCGTCCAAGAATTATAACTGTACCGTTATTTGTTATACATCTAAATGTCGGAGATAAACAACTCTGCCAAAATTAGCCATTTTATTGTTGTGGTACGTCTGGACCAAGTGATGTTTCGTTTGTAGTGTGTGATTGTTGAACATTTTTGATCTATGATATTTGTGAATACAATACTCACTCAAAGCCTCGAACGTCCTCGTGAAGACCACTGTTCAGTTCGTACGGACCATAGGACAGCTCGAACGGACCGCAGGACCGCTTGTACGGTCCATAACACATTGTCCGCGTATGAACCACTGGACATACACCCGGCGTCTGTTATGGGGTCCCACTGTACAGAAGGCTAGCGTTGGGTGTCGCAAACTGCTTTTTAAATGTGTGTCTAACATGTCGGGAAGTAAAATGAGAAGTCCACATATCACTGGTGTATTTGACAGAGGTACCGAGAGGAACAGTCGTGTTTTATAATCGGGATTGGTTAATTTTCACACGGATCGGTTCTGAAGTACCGTCATCGTTCATGGTATGTTCAACACTGGGTCAGTCACTGAGAAAACACTCACTCTAACTTTTCTGTGTTTACAAAACAATTTATTGTATAACATGCGTCTTACAGACATTGTATGTTTAATGATATCGCCTTCAACCGTAACAAAAAAAACTATTTTTAAACCAATGTATAACAATATACACACACTTAAGAACGGCAGCTTAATGTTAGTAAGGATGACAAACGGACAAGAATAGAACTGTTCTTTTCTCAGTCTCAGCTCATTTTATTATATGTATGCACAAATAATAATGTGACATTAAAACACCGTCTAATGCCGTCACATAGAACGAGGCATTCAATACTAGGAGCGAGTTAGATACGGACAGGAAACTACAAATTGTCGATATTGTTTTTATATATTTAACTTTATAAACTGACACCCTATAAATATATTGATATATCCGTTCATTTATCTGTATTTTAGAACAATAAAACATTCAGTAACATTCAATTTTATCAAATATTATAACGTACAGTACTTACACGGGAAACTTGGTATAAGATTAAATATGTTCCATTTCGTTACAAGTATATACATGTAATATATCATAGCGTAGATTATACACATCGTCAATAAAATAAACACATTATGAGTCACAATTATTGATATACAATGTAGTTGTGTGGATTAACAAGAACTAATTTTAGAAACGATAAACGGCAGAGTTCTGATGTTGGGATTATAAAGTTGAAAGCGGCCATGTAGGTATAATATATTGGTAAAAACATCTTCTCTTACAATAGGAAATTTGTAAAATAATTTGACATTGATTGTGAATGTTATTGGAAGATTTAGTGATATTGAGAAACATCGTTATTTACTCAAATATTTTACAAGTTAACATCTGATTTACGCATACTACAAGCAAAAAATTACCAGGAAGTAATTCGGTTCATACGACGCACTTGACTGTGCAGCGTAGGAACTACCTTTTCCTTTCAAACTGCGGGAGTCTGCACGTACACCCACGTTTCCGTACTTACACATGAGATGTTTTTGATTCTTTTAACAAAGATAGTTGTTGTATGATAATAACATTAAATTCGCATAATGGACATAAATGTATAAATTAAGGAAATGTCTTTTATATTTCGGTGCTCTTTTAAAATCAAATTCGTTTCACTTTTTACCTCAAATCTGTTTTTTTATAAACCGATTCTCTGGTCAATACAGTGATACGATCCTACCCGTGGCGCCACCTAGCGCGTCATGAAATATGGAGAGTTTCCCAGCTAAACGAGGCGAATCTCAATTCGAACTTAAACAAATCTGTCGAAAAAAACCTTATGCGAGTTATTTTTACACCTATCGCTTAAAAACATGATAACACTCTCAGACATATCATTAAAACTCTCCTTCCATATACATATACATTCTGCTTTTCGAATCAATTGATATTTTAATAAAAAAAAATCTCAATTTGCGGCTTCCATTCTATCTATTGAAATAATTATTTCGTGTATTTGCTCTCTGTCCATGATCAGGAGCTGACAGTGTGTGTTTTCGCACACACTCTGTCTGATAATGATGAAGGGTGTTTTCTCGGGCGGCTCGCCCACTAGTATACAGGTTCGTTATTGTACTGTGGTGTAGATACACTTGTTATATAGTCGGTGTACCTTTATACAGAAAATGGTCTGAATAAAATGTCGTTATACACACAGGCTTTCGATTTATTATTAGTAAAGACTTACCTTGGTACCATGCAACAACCATATCACAGTAAACTCACCTTGGTACCGTGCTCCCACAATATCACATTAAACTTACCTTGGTACCGCGCTCCCACCATATCACATTAAACTTACCTTGGTACCGCGCTCCTACCATATTACATTAAACTTACCTTGGTACTGCGCTCCTACCATATCACATTAAACTTACCTTGGTACCGCACTCCTACCATATCACATTAAACTTACCTTGGTACCGCGCTCCCAATATATCACATTAAACTTACCTTGGTACCGCGCTCCTACCTTATCACATTAAACTTACCTTGGTACCGCGCTCCTACCATATCACATTAAACTTACCTTGGTACCGCGCTCCTACCATATCACATTAAACTTACCTTGGTACCGCGCTCCTACCATATCACATTAAACTTACCTTGGTACCGCGCTCCTACCATATCACATTAAACTTACCTTGGTACCGCGCTCCTACCATATCACATTAAACTTACCTTGGTACCGCGCTCCTACCATATCACATTAAACTTACCTTGGTACCGCGCTCCTACCATATCACATTAAACTTACCTTGGTACCGCGCTCCTACCATATCACATTAAACTTACCTTGGTACCGCGCTCCTACCATATCACATTAAACTTACCTTGGTACCGCGCTCCTACCATATCACATTAAACTTACCTTGGTACCGCGCTCCTACCATATCACATTAAACTTACCTTGGTACCGCGCTCCTACCATATCACATTAAACTTACCTTGGTACCGCGCTCCTACCATATCACATTAAACTTACCTTGGTACCGCGCTCCTACCATATCACATTAAACTTACCTTGGTACCGCGCTCCTACCATATCACATTAAACTTACCTTGGTACCGCGCTCCTACCATATCACATTAAACTTACCTTGGTACCGCGCTCCTACCATATCACATTAAACTTACCTTGGTACCGCGCTCCTACCATATCACATTAAACTTACCTTGGTACCGCGCTCCTACCATATCACATTAAACTTACCTTGGTACCGCGCTCCTACCATATCACATTAAACTTACCTTGGTACCGCGCTCCTACCATATCACATTAAACTTACCTTGGTACCGCGCTCCTACCATATCACATTAAACTTACCTTGGTACCGCGCTCCTACCATATCACATTAAACTTACCTTGGTACCGCGCTCCTACCATATCACATTAAACTTACCTTGGTACCGCGCTCCTACCATATCACATTAAACTTACCTTGGTACCGCGCTCCTACCATATCACATTAAACTTACCTTGGTACCGCGCTCCTACCATATCACATTAAACTTACCTTGGTACCGCGCTCCTACCATATCACATTAAACTTACCTTGGTACCGCGCTCCTACCATATCACATTAAACTTACCTTGGTACCGCGCTCCTACCATATCACATTAAACTTACCTTGGTACCGCGCTCCTACCATATCACATTAAACTTACCTTGGTACCGCGCTCCTACCATATCACATTAAACTTACCTTGGTACCGCGCTCCTACCATATCACATTAAACTTACCTTGGTACCGCGCTCCTACCAGATCACATTAAACTTACCATGGTACCGCGCTCCTACCATATCACATTAAACTTACCTTGGTACCGCGCTCCGCCATATCACATTAAACTTACCTTGGTACCGCGCTCCTACCATATCACATTAAACTTACCTTGGTACTGTGCTCCTACCATATCACATTAAACTTACCATGGTGCCGCGCTCCTACCATATTATATTAAACTTACCATGGTACCGCGCTCCTACCATATCATATTATTAAACTTACCTTGGTACCGCGCTCCTACCATATCACAGTAAACTTACCATGGTACCGCGCTCCTACCATATCACATTAAACTTACCAGGGTACCGCGCTCCTACCATATTATATTAAACTTACATTGGCACCGCGCTCCTACCATATCATATTATTAAACTTACCTTGGTACCGCGCTCCTGCCATATCACATAAAACTTACCTTGGTACCGCGCGCCTACCATATTATATTAAACTTACATTGGCACCGCGCTCCTACCATATCAAATTATTAAACTTACCTTGGTACCGCGCTCCTACCATATCACATTAAACTTACCTTGGTACCGCGCTCCCACCATATCACATTAAACTTACCTTGGTACTGCACCTACCATATCACAGTCAACTTACCTGGGTACCGCGCACCTACCATATCACATCATAGGTGTGACGACATGAAACATACGACATGATAAATTTAACTAGAGGAAACATTGGACTCGGTAGGTGTGACTTCATGTAACATTATACTTGATAGGTTTGACTACAGGTAACATTGGACTTGATAGGTGTGAATACCGGAAACATTGGACTTGAAATGTGTGACTAAAGGAAACATTGGACAAGATAGATGTGACTACAGGAAACAATGGACAAGGTACTTTAACTACAGGAAACATTGAATAAGATAGGTATGACTACAGGAAACATAGGACATAGAAGGGGTGACTACATGAAACATAGGACAAGATAGATGTGACTACAGGAAACATTGGATAAGATAGGTGTGACTACAGGAAACATTTGACATAGAAGGGGTGACTACATGAAACATTGGATAAGATAGGTGTGACTACCGGAAACATTGGACAAGATAGCTTTGATTACAGGAAACATAGGACAAGGTAGGTGTGATTACAGAAAGCATAGGACAAGATAGGTATGACCACAGGAAACATTGGATAAGATAGGTGTGACTACAGGAAACATAAGACAATATAGGTATGACTACAGGAATCATCGGCGAAGAAAGATGTCATTACAGGAAACATTGGACAAAATAGGTGTGGCTACAGGAAATATTGGACAAGATAGATGTGACTAGAGGTAACATTGCACTTGATACGTGTGACTACAGGAAACATAGAATATGATAGGTTGGATTACAGGTAACAATGGACAAGACAGATGTGACTACAGAAAACATTGGACAATATAGATGTGACTGAAGGTAACATTGGAAAAGATAGGTGTGACTAAAGGTAACATTGCACTTGATATGTGTGACTACATGAAACATAGTACATTATAGGTGTATCTACATGAAACATTGAACATAAAAGGTTTGACTACGAGTAACGTTGGACAAGAAAGGTGTGACTACTGGTAAAATTAGACATGATAGATGTGATTACAAGAAACATTGGATAAAATAGCTTTGACTACAGGAAACATTGGATAAGATAGATGTCACTACAGGAAACATTGGATAAGATAGATGTCACTACAGGAAACATTGGATAAGATAGATGTCACTACAGGAAACATTGGATAAGATAGATGTCACTACAGGAAACATTGGATAAGATAGATGTCACTACAGGAAACATTGGATAAGATAGATGTCACTACAGGAAACATTGGATAAGATAGATGTCACTACAGGAAACATTGGATAAGATAGATGTCACTACAGGAAACATTGGATAAGATAGATGTCACTACAGGAAACATTGGATAAGATAGATGTCACTACAGGAAACATTGGATAAGATAGATGTCACTACAGGAAACATTGGATAAGATAGATGTCACTACAGGAAACATTGGATAAGATAGATGTCACTACAGGAAACATTGGATAAGATAGATGTCTAGATTGACTAGAGGAAACATTGTACTTGATAAGTTTGACTACAGGATACATAGTACATCATAGATGTGACTACATGTAACAAAGGACATGATTAGTGTGACTACAGGAATCATAGTACATGATAGATGTGACTACATGTATCAAAGGACATGATTAGTGGGACTACAGGAAACATAGTACATGATAGATGTGACTACATGTAACAGTGGATATGATAGATGTGATTACAAGAAGCGTAGGACATGACAGTTATGACTACTGGAAACATTGGACATGAAAGTTATGACCAAAGGAAACCTACGATTTGTAATATTTGACTACAGGAAACAAAAGACATGATAGATGTGACTACAGGAAACATTGGACAAGATAGATATGATTTCAGGAAACTTTGGACTTGATAGATGTGACTGCAGGAAACATTAGATAAGATAGATGTGACTGCAGGAAACATTGGACAAGATAGATGCGACAACAAGAAACATTGGACAAGATAGATGTGACTACAGGAAATATTGGACAAGATAAATGTGACTACAGGAAACATTGGACAAGATAAGGATGACTACAGAAAATATTTGACATGATAGGTGTGACTACAAGAAACATAGGACAAAATATGTTTGACTTCATGAAACATTGGACAAGATATATAGGTGTGACTACAGGAAACATTGGACATGATAGGTGTGACTATATGAAACATACGACATGATAGATGTGACTAGAAGAAACATTGGACTTGATAGGTGTGATAACAGGAAACATAGAACATGATAAATTTAACTAGAGGAAACATTGGACTTGGTAAGTGTGCCTACATGTAACATTGGACATGATAAGTGTTACTACAGGAAACAAAGTACATTTTAGGTGTGACTACATATAACAAATTACATGATAAGTGTTACTACAGGAAACATTGGACTTGAAATGTGTATCTACAGGAAACATTAAACATGATAGGTGTGACTAGAGGAAACATTGGACAAGATATATGTGACTACAGGAAACATTAAACATGATAGGTGTGACTACAGGTAACATTGGACTTGAAATGTCTATCTACAGGAAACATTAAACATGATAGGTGTGACTGCAGGAAACATTGGACTTGAAATGTGTATCTATAGGAAACATTAAACATGATATGTGTGACTAGAGGAAACATCGGACAAGATAGATGTGACTACAGGAAACATTATATTTGATAGGTGTGAATAAGGTAACATTGGACTTGAAACGTGTATCTACAGGAAACATTAAACATGATAGGTGTGACTACATGCA